CGGGAATTGCTTCTGCGCCAGGCCGGAATGAACCACCGGCTTGGGGAGGGTGTTGTGGTTGGAGTCCGGGCTGAAGAACACGTCGTTCTTGCTGGGAGAGGGGGACCCATCCGAGGTGGAATCGTTCCCCCGGAGGCCGTAGCTCCCGTAGAGCCCCGGGGCCGCGGCCAGCGGGTCGCAGCTCTCGCTCTGCTCAAGGATGGACCTCATGGACTGCGGGAAAGGGGACTTCACCCCAAACTCCTGCGACCTCTGCCCATAGCTGGGCAGCACCGGCTGATACTCCGCAGCCTCGGAGAGTTTGCTGGACTTCAAGATGGATTTGGTGGGTTTCTTCTCCAGGTTGAGCATGGCCGAGGGGGGCGGCCCCGAGTAATCGAAGTCCCGGTAATCCTCATCCTCCTGGAAAGAGGTGTCCGGGTAGAACTTCTCCTGGGAGGAGTCCAGCAGGGAGGAAGGGAGCTCCATGCTGTCCGCAGGCTGCTTGTACAGCCCGGCTGGAGACTCCCGGCCGAGCCCGAAGGGCCGGTAGGTGTGCACGGAGCTGGAAAGCTCTTGGGAATACCCATCATCCCGGCTCTGGAGGGGGGACCTGGTGCTGCTGGGAGTAGAAGAACCCGGGCTCATGATTTTGGACAGCAGGGAAATAGTGTCCACGTTGCTGGAGGTTGGTTTGTAAAAGGGTGGGTTGTCCCGCGCCCCTCTGCTCGCACCGGCGTCCCATCCACGTTGTCCAGGGAAGTGCTGGTGGGAGCCCGCTGGAAGTCGGCCGCGTGGCTTTCCGTTGCCATGCTGGATCCCAAGCTGCTGAGGATGGGAATATTCAAGTTGAGGCCACTGAAGCCAGGATTTCCCTTCAAGAAGTTGTGGATCTTCATCTCCAGGCTGGGAGAAGGCGGCTCCGACTCCAGCTTTGCTTTGGGAATTTCAGAGGGTTGAGCCAGAGAGGATTCCGCTGGCAAAAGGGAGGAGGGGCTGGTGGGGTGGGAGCTGGGAAAGCCCAAGGAATTGCTTGGTGGCTTGAAACTGGAGCTGGGCAGCCCCGTGGTGTGTCCAGCGGGGGCCTTGTTCACCGAGGTGGAGGAAACCTCAGCACTGGATGAGTTTGGAGAATAACCAAAGCTTTTGGACAGAAAGGACTGAGCGTTGGGAGGCACGTTCCTGCCCTTCCCAGGACCGGCCGCGGTGGCTGGCGAGGCCGCGGTGCTC